ATGAGACAACAATAATTTGAAAACATTTCTCATTGAATAACTAATAAAAAAAATGCAAAAATGTTTGCATGACCAAAATTTTTTTAATTACTTTTTGCACCGATTTATTCAAGGACCCATGTGGTCATTTTTAAGATATAAAAATAACATTTTATTGTTGTTTACGGGAGGTAAATAATAATAATGTTGTTATCTGAATTACGTTTATTGTAACTATTTTACAAATTTACAATTATTATGATTCTTGTATTTAAGAAATAATAACAATTAACTATGTGAAATTACGACAAGCGATTGACAAAATAAAAATAAATTAAAAGATGAAATAAATTTGGCAACGTCCTTGAACTTGACCAGTAAAAATTATAAACAAGTATCACTTTTGACCTTAAAACTCACCTAAAGTTCTTCAAAATTTGTTAATTGATTTCAAGAAAAGTGTTTTTTTCATTAAAAAAAAGGACTACAATAAATCATTTGCTTTGATGAAAGGATACGAACTTTTACAAACTACTCGTATTCTCAGCTTTCTAGACTAAAAAGATTGCAAAAAAATACATTTGCATTAAACAGACAATAAACGCTAATCTAAGAGAATTTCTGATACTTTGACTTTCCAGGACAAAGGATGATATTTTTTCTTCTATCATTATCCACATAAAAAAGTTTTTATTTTATTTAATTATAATAAAAAAATTTTTTTCAGAAATTTAGTGCAATTAAAATTCGTAATACCTCTAAATGATCAAATCCGGGAAATTACATGTTAATAACAGTGTAAATGCAAATGGAATGTAGCCAAGCGAATATTCCAACAAACTTTTCCTACTCACTAATAATACAATAGGCTTAATTGTTTTATATAAGAAATAAAGAAAATATTATATTGTTTTCTAAGTCCTACTGAATTTATTGACCTTGAATAACATGGGTTACTATGTTTTCAGGTTTTATTCGAAGAGTAGGAACACTTATTAATTATTTTGTTTCAACAAGGAAATAAACATAAAAAGGACACTGTCATCATCAGAAAATTTAACCTTCTTAATAACCCGTGTAAAAATTGTGCATTGTATAAATGTGACTTATTTGAAATAAAAAATCGATCAAGTAATTTCATGTTTCGTTGGCTACGAAAAATCGTGATAAACAGAATATTGAAAAAGGATATACCATTTGTAAAAATTTGTATCCTAACAGGATCTCATTAGACATGGCTTAACCTTATTACGAAACAGTATTCAACTAAATTTGGATGTTACGCTTATTAGATTTAATTCCCACACAATATTTTGTACAAAGTCCTGATTGTCACATTTTGTCCTGGTCAAAGTAAACAATTTCAAGGATTTGTGGGTAATTTAGAAACAATGCTCCTATTTTTGTTAAAAATTGAGTTTTAATTTTTACGATAGTGGCCAACAAGAATAATTGAATAATTTTCTACGGCACTGGATGGGAAGAATCTCTTTAATAAAGTTTTACAAAATTATGCAATTAACCTTCACCAACATTTATGAGTTTTGTACGATCCAGCGTAAATTAATAATTACTTTTATCACGGAATATTTTTATTTTAAGTGAAGTGAAAGTGGTTTAAATTATTTTCTCTATTTTATATATCATTGCAGAGGTTTCTCTACATTTTACACGGACGTTTAGATTGTTTGTTCAAATAAGTAGCGTATGATGAATGAACAAACAATTTTATCGAAAAAATTTTACGATATTTGTACCAATAGTTAATTAAAGTATTTCTAAATTTTCCTCGCAATAAAAAAAATGAGAATGAGAAGTTCCAATTCTGTCAGCTGCAAAACCGGGGCAATATACAGCAAATTGTTGAAATTAATTAAAGAAACCAGTTTTGATCCTAGAGAAGCTTGCAGTAATTTGCACTGACCTTAAATTTTTTACACAAAAATCACAAAAAAAAGTCACTGATTTTAAACTTCCATCACTGTTATTACACTTTCGTTGCCGGAAAGAACTGATCGGAGATATCAATGATTGTTTAATTCAAATGGATTTCAAATCTGGGGGCTACTATGTTGTTAAACAGTCCCACTATTGCAGGACTGCGTCAGGTGCCCCACCACTAGATTCGTACTGCTATAGGTGATATAATTTAATCAAAATGCCATAACATTCACGAAGGGAGAAATGCACCGAAATTATCAGCATCATTAATTAAATCGAAATTCTCTTTCATCTAAATACCTACGAATTATGGACTAAATTTCCCACAATTTTTTTTAGTATACTTCAGTTGATTTAAATATTGTAAATTATCATAACGTCACTTTCTAAAAGACGAATGTTCTACAGTGTAACCTCATTAAGTGGAACAGCTAATATTCTGACATTTAATTCAATTTCATCAATTATTTTCCTCTCTATCTCACATTTGATAAAATATGTAGAAATCTACATTAGAAACTGAAATATCTCTAATTTCGTTTTTCCCAAATTTGCTTAAAAATAGCAGAAAATAAATAAAAATGAACAAAAATCAGACTCGATTTTGAACACGCGTTCAATAGTTCAATTTCAAACTAATTTGGTATTGACACAGTTTTTTGATTCCTTGCAGTCTACAGTATACGTAGTAACTATTCTATTGATTCGGAGTAACGAGGTTGTATTGTTTTTTTTTTTTCATTTTTTTGTTCAGCTTTATTGAATTAGTCATTTTACAATACAGAGTTGTTATGATTATGTTTTTAAATTATATTTTTATGTTTCCCATTGAAGTGTCTGTTTTGTCATTCATGGAAAAAAAATTAAAGGAATCATCTCTGAAATAAAAGTAAATTTTCGTTTCAGAAAGAATTATATTGCTATACAGGGCCGGCGCAAAAATATTTATAATTGATTTAAAAAAATTGCTAGTCCAAAAGATCGAGGATTATACAGGGTGTATCAGAAATACGTGTTCAATGTTAATAAATAATCACAACAATGCAGTTCTTTTAATGTAGTTCCTATCATAAAATATTTCGTAATTTTTAATTTGATACCCATAGGCGCGTATACGTTTTGATATGTTATCTTTTCCAAATATTAAATCAAATTTGTAAGCTTTTATTAAAAAATTACAAATAGAAAAAAAATATTATTTATCGAAATGTGTTACATGTTAAAATTAACACACGTATTTCTGATACACCTTGTATAGACTTCAATTTGATGCTTTAATATTGTTCAAAATTTTTAGCGTATATCAGTGAGACCCAGGGCCGTAACAAGGATTTT